AAAATAAAAAAAAAAAAAAAAAAAAAAAAAAAAAAGAAGCTAGGTGTCTTCTTACCTTTGCCACAGGCAGCTTTCAAAAAGAATTCACAGACAGCAGCCCCTGACTCTGTAGAAGTGAGAAAAGAAACAGCATTAACCAAAGCTAGGAGCTGCTGCTATTAGCAATCCTGAAGAGTGTGAGGGGATCCTTCTGGCCTTTGACCCAGGTTACAGGAAACACTGGCTTCAGAGATGCAAAGTCTAACTATGCCAGGCCAAAAGCTGCTAATTTCAGTCATTCCCTACAGAACAAGTCATGTACACTGAGAGGGAACATTACTTAGTACTTTCTGAGAGGTTCCTGGAAGGGAAGAGCTGTTGAAGAGTTAAGAGAATTGATAGGGAAGGCAGGATGAAGCCTAGTATCACAGAAATGAGTTAATTATCCCCAACTCAGACCTCCCAGAAGGTCCAAGTCACAGATGTCATGAAGTAGAGGGAGGAATGATTTTACAGGAAATATCTAGAAGCTAATGGGCCCTCTCAAGGGGGCAGGTTCCAGAAGAGGCACGTGACTCTGAGGCACCAGTTCAGAAGGAAGAATGAATGTGAAGATACGGAAGCAGGCCTGTTATTATTTTTTGGGAGAGGGTCTTGCTATGTAGTCCAGGTTGGCCTTGAATTCATGATCTTCCTGCCTAGAGTGCTACTATGCCCAGCTAATCTCATTCTTAATATGCAACATTTGCATAAAAATAAAGGAACATGGTCTTTTATTCATTCAGGCAGAGAATTCTAGTGAAGGGAGCAAGGTCACAAAGGCAGAGTATAGTGAAAGGGAATGGGCTCTGAGGGCCAGCTGTTTCGAGAAGTCCAGGAAATACACAGGCCATGTTGCTAGAATAAATTGCCCGTGTCATCATTAACAGTTTTCCCTATCCATAAGCTTTTCAGAAAATCTGCTGGGCATGATGATACATGCCTGTAATCCTAGCACTCAGGAGACTGAGGCAGGAGGATCACTGTGAGTTTGAGCTAGCCTGGGCTGCAAAGTGAGTTCGAGGCTAATCTCATCTGCACAGTGAAACCTGTCTCAAAAACAAATACAAAAAAAAAAAAAAAAAAAAATTGCTGAAAACCTATGATGGCATCTCTTGAAACCCACTGAACATGCTTCCCCTTGTTAATATGCAAGAGATTCTGTGGCTTCTTTAAAGCAGGTAGAGTTTGCTGGGACAGAGTTAACTGCAGAATTTATGGAATTACTGGGGGTGTTGTTCTGGGCTTCAAAGTCTGAAAAGTTTTACATTTAAAATGTATCTTTGCTGACCTCTGTATCCTTTCACACAAGCGGTAGAGATGCTGTCATGCCTCAGGAAGAGCAGTGCCTTTTGAGAGCTGCTCTAGTTTTATGGGATTCTGTAGGCTAAAGGTGACCTGACAGAGCCCAGCAGCTAGTGCCACACAGGACGGGGGGAGCGGGGAGGTGCAACTATAAGGAGTGTGGTTGCATGTTGGGAAAATGAGAGCTTTTTTATCTTTGACTTTTTCAACACAAAACTGTAGGAAGGTCTGTCCAGAAAGGTCTCCCTTCCCTTCCCTCTGCCCTGCTCCTCTCACCTTGTATGGTAAGTATGTGACTTAATTTTGTCTGTTGTTCCTTTTCCCTTTTTAAAACAAAGATTGAGAAATATATCAAATATATGCCTGTGAGACATAGCTAGCTATAGATATTTTAGGCTGGATGTGTGGTGTGTGCCTGTAATCCCAGTATTGAGGAGGCTGAGGATCCCGATAAATTCCAAGCCAGCCTGTGCTACATAGTGAGTTCAAAGCCATCCTGTACTACACACATGAGACACCATCTCAAAAAACCAAGGGGGTGGGGGTGGGAAACAAGAAAAACAAAGTTCCATTTTAAAACAGGTGTTGTAGCACACACCTATCTCAGCCCTTGGCAAGGCCGAGGCAGGAAGATTCAAAGTTTGAGCCCAGCCTAGGCAATTTAATAACTTAATGAGATCCTGTTTCAAAATTAAAAAAATAAAAGGGTTGAGGATGTGGTGTAGTGTGAAGACATTGGGTTCAATGTCGAATACTGAAAAAATCATTTCTGGTCTTTTGTTCTTTTTAGAGATTAAGGTGGCTTCATTCCTTAAAGTTATAAATCCAGTCTAGAGACTGGGCCCCAGGTAGATGGGATACGAACATGTCTTACTTACCATCAAGAAATCAAATAATGACAGTGCTCTCAAGGATGTGTGTGTGTGTGTGGGAGAAAACCTACATCACTGGTAGAAATGTAAACTAATACAACCATGGAAATAGTATAGCGATTCCTCAGAAAAATAAAACTAGAAATTTCACTGGACCCACTTATTTCCATTCTATGTATCTTCCTGAAAGAGCTAAAGGTGTCATATTATAGTGAAACATGCATACCCATGTTTATAGCAGCAAATTCATAATAGTTAAATCTTGGAAGCCTGTTTATTCACCAACAGATAAGTGGATAAACACATGGTATTTACATACAATGGAGCACTACTCTGCCATAAAGGACAGACTTGAGTCATTTGCAGGAAAATGGATGCACCTTGAGACCAAAATGTTACGTGAAATAAATCAGACACATTAACTTAACCATCACATGGTTTCTGTCATGAGAAACCCTAAATACCATATAAACAAAGAGCAAAATAAAAGATACTAGGAAGTAGGGAGAAAGATTTTTCTTGTTATTTTGTTTTGGTACCAAGAATTGAATTAGGACCTTGTGCTTGTCAAGCAGGCACTGTGGCACTGAGCTAGCTCCCCAGCCCAAAAGATCTTTTTCAAGTGAGAAGGGGATGGCGGACAAGAAAGGGGAGAGGAAGAAAAAAGAATTGTAATGTGTTATGTACATATACCAACTCCCCACAACTAATATACTATATTTCCCTGAAAATAAGACCCAACTAGAAAATAAGCTCTCCCACCAAAGATTTTTCAAGATGCTTATAATATTAACAGCCCCCACTGAAAGCTCCAGTTAAGAGCATTAGCCAGGCCAGGCATGGTGGTGCATGTCTGTAATCCTTGCACTTGGGAGGCTGAGACAAGAGGATCATTGCAAGCTGGAGGCCAGCTCAGGCTACATAGTGAGTTGAAGGTGAAAAAGATCAGCCGCCAGATGGATGCATTTAGTCTATCTGTTGCAAAGCACGATGGACATAATGAATTGTAAAACAGTATTAATGTATAATTAAATATAGACATGAATACTTAAAAATGATAAATTATAATTAAGTCTTTGTAAATACCCAAGCAGATGCCTTTGGATAAGATGCAAATGCCTAACTAAATGAATGAACTCCAGACACTGCTGGAATACCAACTGAGTAAACACAACACAAATAATAGTGTACCACACAATTAGAAAACACAGGTATGATTTTGTCTAATATGAGTCTGTAATTTAGTGCATTCTGTGTTGTTAACAGACATACTTAGTGAACTTATGTGAAAAAAAAAAAGATTCTGAATTTTGGTGCTATAATGTTTCATTGCTTTGGTGTGGCCCGTCATTTTTGTTGCCACTCCTGTCTCATAAATCTTCAATTAACACTTGATTTAATGGAAACTTTGTGAAGCCCAGCCTGCCAGAGGTCATTACTTGGATGAAGAATTCATGGGATAAAAATCACTGACAGCTGTGTTGCCAGAGGACTATAAGCAGGCTACATGGACAAGAAGTACTCTTTTATGGAGAGCTCTATTGCTGGACAGAAGAGATCGAGGCCAATGGTTCTAAAGAATTGGCGCTGCAAGAAATTCAGGCCAGAATTTGTGGTTTGGAGAGTTATAACAGTGTTCCAGAAGATCACATGATGTATTTGAATATAATTTTTTAAAATACGTAAGTGTAAATTGTAAATAAACAGACGGCCGTACAAGAAAAAATAAGACACCTCCTGAAAATAAGCCCTATTGTGTCTTTTGGAGCAAAAATGCATCAGCCCTGGTTTTATTTTGGGGGAGGTATGATAATTACAGCATACTACAAATTACTAATAAAAAAGAAAAACATGTTTTAAGGCCCAAACTTTTTGCAAATAGGAAGGAGACCAAGAGATGGAGAAAGGGGACAGAAACATAAAAAGAATTAATATATTATATACAAGTACCAACTCTTTAAGATAAATATAATTGGCTGGCAAGGTAGCTCAGTGGACTAAATGCGTGCTTACGCAAGCTCAGTGACTGGGGTTTGATTCCTGGCACCACATGCCCCTCTGGCCCCACCAGAGAGTGGGTATGGTGGCTCACACCAGTAATCCCAGCACTGGGGAGGCTGAAGACAGGAGGATCACGACAAGTCCAAGCTGTATAGTGAGGCTCTGCACCAAATGCATAAGAAAAAAATCTAAATATGTACTACAGACATGTACAAATTAAAATTTAAAAAACAAAAGGCCAGAACTTACAGTTCTTCTCAAACTGTGATGGGAATGAGGGCCAGGGTCCAGTAAGGAAGGACCACAACCTTGCTGGGAGTTAACATACCAAACACCTCACGAAACTGAGGGCTGAATACATCAACCAAATCTGAAGTCCTGGGCTAGGCTAGTACATAACTTCCTAGGAACAAGTGTGTGTGGCTCATCACTGCAAACACCCCACCCCCAGATTTGTTGACGTCTGGTACCAGGTGGGAGAAAGGTCTGAGGGAAAGAGCTACCTGGTACAGGTTATTCTGTGACAGAGGCCACCAAGAGAGGAATCATCTCGAGTGGATGTGTATGTGCAGGCACTAAGGGACCAAAGGGGCAGAGAGACAGGCGAGAGCATGTATGAATTTGAACATCTGCTTACAAGAGGTGTCTGTACATAAAACTTGTTGGTTTGATGTATGTGCATTGGGTATAAATAGGCACTGTCTTGCAATGAAGTATCAGCGCTAGAGGACAGAGTTCTGGTGTGTGTTAGAAGGTAAATGCAGAGAGTTGTGAGGCTGATAGGGATAGGAGTGAAAGCATCAGCTACCATACTCTGGCAGTTATGGGAGACAGCATGGAATGCTGGAGAAGTCCTCAGCCAGTCCCTTCTGCACCTGGCCTCAGGATTCTCATCAACAGATTGAATTCAGTAACCTCTAACAGCCTCCTGAGCTACATTAGGCTTCAAGGAGTTTTAGAAACAAGTGAAAGATACTGCTGGTTCCTCCCTTTTTCTGAGATGGTCTGCTGTGCAGCTCAGGCCGGCCTCAAATTCATAATTCTACCATCTCTTCTTCCTGAATGCTGGGATTACAGGCATGTGTTACCATGCTTTAGTTGGTAGTTTCTCCTAAAAATGCAAGATGTCCCACCTGAATTGGGAAACCCTAGGCTACCATGTGAAGAGTAAAGGGAGCTCAGAGGAAGGGTCCGCAATGGGCCCTCCTGGATGTGACAAAGGGGTTTAGAAAAAACGAGTCCTAGAGCAGGCCCAGACTAGGAATGAGCTCCCCAGAGTTTGAATACTGCGAAAAGAATGGAGTTTGAAGGTGTAGCTGGTACGGTGCAGGAGACATAGTCCTTCCCTCGGTAGGTGTCTACCAACAGACTAATTCTGATGAAAGCAAGAAGGCGCTCCAAGTACGGAGCGGAGGATTGCATGGGTCGGACTTTCCTCTAGTTTGGGAAGGGTGCTGGGCGGAGGTTCCATCACCGGCCTTCACTCTAGAACCAGTGCAACAACGTTTCAGTTCCTGCCCTACTAGAGATGACCATGGAATAGCCCTAGGTATCAAAGACTCAAGGAAGAGGACTCCGGGTCCGAAGGAGGGGAAAGTAGGTCCTAGCACCAGGGAAAGGGTCTTGGGTCCGACAGGAAAGGTCCCGAGTCTCAGAGAAAGCGCTCTAGAGTGCAAGAGAGAGAGAGAGAGAGAGAGAGAGAGAGAGAGAGAGAGAGAGAGAGAGAGAAAAGAAGTCCCAGGATCTGGCAGAGTCTTAGGTCCCGGGTCTGGGCCGATCTCACCCGCCCGCCGGGGCCCCGCGCTCACTGTCCATGCCGGGGAAGGGAAGCGGCTGCGCCCCGAGCTGCTGCTCCACGGCAATCTCCAAGTCGAACTTGATGTGGTCCACGCTGGCGATGATTTCCTGCATGGCGGCGGCGGCGGCCCCCCGGCCCGGATCCCCTAGAGTGTCTTGCCGTCCTCACTCTCTTTTCTATCTCCCGCTCGATCCTCCTCCGCCTAGCCCCCCGCCGCCGCCGCCACCGCCGCCACCGCCGCCGCCGCCACCGCCCGAGGGATGCCGGGAACTCCCGGAGCCCGCGCCGGTTCTTTTGCCTGTTCAGACCCGGCTAATCGAGCGCCAGGCCCGGGTAGCCGCCAGCCAAATTCCCTCTTCTCGCCAGCAACCTCAGTTCCAGGCTCTGGGAGTTAAATACGCAGACTACGCCTGCGTGAGGCGGGGTCGAAGCGAGCGACCGGAGTAGGGTGACCTCCGCGCCACACCTGGGGCTGGGCGAGTACTGGCTCGGCAGTCGCGCTCTTCGCGCAGCATGCTTCGGGTGAGCTCCTACTTGATTTTTATAGGAATGCGGAGACACGGGCGGAGGGGCTCCCAGGGCCAAGAGGCAGGGTCCTACGCCCCAGAGGAGAGGCTCCTGGGTCCCAGTGAGAGAAGCGACCCCAGAACCAGGGACAGCCAGTCTCACCGGCCCGCGCTCGCTGGCCCCAAGCTCCACGCCGGTGAACGTTAGCGGGGCAGTGAGTACTGGAACTTGGGCCGGGAGGTGGGCTGAGGAAACCCAGCCTCCGAAGGGCAGCGTGGGACGGGGTGCCGCCTCAGGCTCTGTGAGCGTCTACCGTTTGTTGGGTCCCTCAAAAGAAGATGGCCATGGAATGTTTCTGATTCAGGGACTTTATTTTTAAACGTTTATTTTTGCAGCACTGGGGATTGAACCCAGGGCCTTCGCATCGAGCTACATTCCTACCCCTCTTAAAAACGTTGAGACAGCGTTTCACCGAGACGCTCAATTGCCCAGGTTGGACTCAAACTTGTAATTCTTCCTCCCCTATTCCGCGGGCAGGAATTACAGAGCACGTGCACCACCACGCCCACACTTCTAATTGCTAGGGGTTAGGCCCGAGGGAATTAATTAATTTCGTAGGCAGAAAATTCCACTTTTCCTTTTTCATCTGAAATTTAGCATTTCCTTTCCTCACGGGCTGAGCAGCATTAGCAGTGCCGGAAACTTCAAACGATGATGAGTGTAAATGATAGTTGGAGCCAGGATTTTGTTTTATTTGTTTTTTTGAGACAGAGTCTGGTTCAGGCTGGCCTTGAACTTGCCACAATCCTTCATGAGCCTCCTGAGTGCTGGGATTATAGGTGCGTACCACCACATCTTGCAGAGACAGAATTTCGGCAGCAACTATGAGATCTTAACTCTGCTTCAAAATGATAGGTTCTTACTATTTAATGCATTAAAAAGAAACACATAGTAGTATAGGGCACATATGTGTTAGTATAATATTACTGTAGAACTCAATTTACTATCCCCTCTGAGGTCTTTCCAATGGTGATTTTCTAATATAAGCAGCCTTTTCTATTTTCATACTATTAGCTCATTATTCTGGTATTTTTTTAATTAAAGGGCTTTAGAATTAAGGCTGGACTGTTCAGCCTGGCCCTACCCAGTAGAAATGTTTATATGCTATCTATATTTGTGTGTGTGTGGTACTGGCAATAAACCAAGGGCTTTTGCACTAAGTTACATCACCAGCTCTTTTTTAATTAAAAAAATTTTTTGGGTCCAACAGAAATATAATGCAGGCATATGTATAATTTTAAATCTTTAGTTAATCACATATTAAAAATAAACTGAAATTAATGTTACTGTATTTATTTAGTCAAGTATATCTCAAGTATTAGGATTTTAAAAAGTTGTATTATGTGTGTTTTTTGTTGTGTTTCAAAGTCCTTGAAATCCAATGTATTTGCATTTACAGCAGTGTCTGTTTAGATTGGCCACATTAGGGGCCAAGGAAATGGCTCAGTAGAATAAAGTGCAAGGGCCTGAGTTCAGTCCCCAGTTCTGCAAAAAAAAAAAAGGACCGGGGAGACAGCTCAGTAGAGTAAGTGCTTGAGGTCCTGAGTTCAATCCCTGGTACTGCGGGAAAAAAAAAAAAAAAAAAAAAAAAGTAAATAAATTGGCCACATTTCAAGTGCTCAGTAATCTTAGGTAGCTGTGGCTTCTGTCTTTTTTTTTTGGGTGGAACCAGGAATTGAACTCAGACCCTTGCACTTGCCAGGGAAGCGCTTATTCCACTGAGCCATCTCCCCAGTCCCAATTTTTTTTTTTTTAAATAAAATTGTTTTTACTTAGAAGCATTCAGAATGTCAACAAAACAGTTGCAACTTTTTTCTTTTTTGCAATTACAGAGTGGTATTCAGTTAAGAAAACAACAATTATTTTGTATAAACTGTATCAGAGACAACTGAGTATGAAAAACTACCATCCCCACATATACCTAATTTATGCTGTGCACCAACAAGAACCTGCTTTCAATTTCCATGCCAGTTTACAACCCCCATACTGTACCAGGCAAGGTTAGTGGCTATTAAAAATACCACCAGGACAGAGCTATTCAAAGACACATTTGGTAGTGTGTTAACTATACAAAAAAAAAAAAAAAAAGACACTGTATATTTTAAAAACAAATCTTACACAGCCTTACATTTTAATTTTGTTCTTCAAAAGGAGTGAGTTGTATACAGGGGGGTTAAATGCTTTATAGACAAGGAAAAAAAAGTGCACTAGAACCACCTTATTCATCATCCTCTTCATCCTCATCCTCTTCATCTTCCTCCTCTTCATCCTCATCTTCCTCCTCCTCCTCTTCCTTCTCTTGCTTTTTTCAGCCTTGATGACTCCCTTTTTTGCTGCATCAGGTTTTCCTTTAGCTCAGTAGGCAGCGATATCCTTTTTATACTTCTCCTTCAGCTTAGCAGCCTTCTCATATGGCTACTTATCATCTGCTGCAGTATTATTCCACATTTCTCCAAATTTCTTTGCAACATCACCAATGTAGAGGCTAGGATGTTCTCCTTTGATTTTTGGGCAATACTCAGAACAGAACATGAAGAAAGCCAAAGGAGGCCTCATGGGTACATTGGAATCCTTGAACTTCTTTTTTGTTTCTCCTTCAGGAGGAATGTAAGTTTTCATTTCTCTTTCATAACAAATCTTGTCCGCTTTTGCCATATGTTCAAATTTTCTTTTTCTTGAGCAGACATAGTTTTCCACCTCTCTGAGCACTTCTTAGAATACTCTGAGAAGTTAACAGAAGCATCTGGGTGCTTCTTCTTGTGCTCCTCTCATCAAGTTTGTACAAAGAATGCATATGATGACATCTTGCCTCTCAGCTTCTTAGGATCTCCTTTGCCCACGTTTACTTGTTTTCCTCAGCGAGGTACAGAGTCACCCAGTGCCTGTCTGGCTCTCACTTGCCCCAGTGTTGTCTCTCTTCTGTCTTTATTTTATGTTTTGGAGACTGGGCTTTGCTATGCAGCCCAGGCTGGCCTGAATCTCATAGCAGTCCTCCTGCTTCAGCCTCCTTAGTGTTGGGATTACAGGCATGCACCACCATGCCCAGCCTAAATGGCTGCTGTCTTGGCACAGATCTTGCCTGTTTGGCCAGGTTTTGCAGAAGAGAAATGCTTGAGTTTTCATTTGCAGCGACCAAAATGTCAACATTTTTTTACCCCAGTAACAAACGATAATAGCTGTACCTTTTGAACACTTCTTAAAATTCCAGGCAAGTGCTAAAAACATTTCAATTTATGTCAGTCATAGTGACACATGCCTGTAATCCTAGAAGTCTGGGAGGCTGAGCCAGATGGATTACAAATTCAAGACCAGCCTGGCAGATTTATCAGCTTAAACACTGTTAAAAAGGGAATGGGGGGGCTGGGGAGATGGCTCAGTGGAATAAGCGCTTCCCTGGCAAGTGCAAGGGCCTGAGTTCAATCCCCGGTTCCGCCAAAAAAAAAAAAAAAAAAAAGGGAATAGGGGCTGATAATGTAGTTCAGTGGAAAGGCTATAGGTTCAGGCTGTTTTGCTCAGTCCTGCAAAAATAAAAACATTTCATTTTAATCTTGTAGTGGAAACAGTCAAGGCAAAGGAAGGCTAAGTAACAGGTCTCAACACAGAGTTCTGACTTAGTGCGTGTGCTCAAGGATGATTATTTCATGGGGTTTTTTTAGCTTATATGTCTAACAACTGTTTATGGTGTCATTGTTGTGCTATTTGCTGTATATTGCTGCAGTACTGTGTGAGCGCTGTTACTGTTAATTTCAGTCAAGATATCTTGGTTACTTTTTGTTTCTGAGACAAGATATATAACAAAAATATAAGTCAAAGGAAGAAAACATTTTAGCTCACAGTTTGTACAGGTTTATGTCTGAAGTTACCTGGCTCCAATACAAGTCAATATGGCAGAGGAAAAATAATCTGTGGTAAGGCAGGCAGAAGGCAGGAAGCTGCCAGGCAGTGAGCCTCCCTTTCCCTTTTTATCCCATCCTGTCTACGAGCCTATTGGTGGGTGCCACCCTCATGCTGAGTGGGCCCTTTCATTGTCCACTCCCAGAATTATGCTAAACCAACCAATGAATTAGTTTATCACACATCCATAATCTATGTTTACACACTGCTTGTAGGGATTCATTGGTCTCAGTCGGATTGATTCTACCCAGTGAGAAACGTCTGGCAGGAATGAGAAAAGATAGACATGAAGACAAAAGCTGGGCTAGGTGGTGGCTAGTCTGCCTGGTAGGCCAGAGGACCTCACCAGCACAACTAAACCTACTTTTATTTATACTTTTGCAAAGTTAGTAACAAGTGACACAAAGTTACCTAGCGACTAATAGCTGACCTTAACCAGATAGGAAGTTTATCTCAGGACTGAGGTAACATGTTTGCTTTAAGCACTGAGGCCTAGTCCCTTCTACACACATTTGACCAATTTTTTTGGGGGGAACCAGGGATTGAACTCGGGACCTTGCGCTTGCCAGGGAAGTGCTTATTCTACTGAGCTATCTCCCCAGCCCCTCACCAATTTTCTAGCTACTGTGGCCCCCGATAATTGCAGTTCGAGCCACTTCGCAAAAACCCACCTTTGAGCGTATGAGACTGGCGCGGGGAGTATAGATATAAGCCATAACAAGAAACCAGTGGCTGGGTGTATTTTGTTTTTATTTTTTGTTTTTTCCCATAATAATTGGGATTGGATTTGTTTTGTTTTTGAGACAGGGTCTCACAAAGTTGCCCAGTCTGGTTTTGAACTTGTGATCCTCCTGCTTCAGTCTTCCAAGGTGCTGGGATTTTTTTTTTTTAATTTTATTTATTTGTGTGTGTGTGTGTGTGTGTGGCCAGCTCAGCCCACCAGGGGGCGGGGCTGGCTGGCATGTGGTGCTGGGGGATTGAACTGCGGTCCCTTGCTTTGCTAAGCTTGTTCTAAGTAGGTGCTTTAGACCACTGAGCCATCTCACCAGCCCCGGTGCTGGAATTATAGATGTGCAACACCACAGCTGGCTATACAGAGTTGTTTGGAAAGCTAGAATCTGAGCTAAAACTTCAGCTTCAGGACCCATGCTTGCAACTACCTCTTTGTTTTCTTTCTGTCATTGAACCTGAGTTGACTTCCTTGTTTTTCCTGACTTGCTTCAGGTGCTGGTGGTACAGGAAAGCCAGAGATGGACCTTGTGAGACTTGCCCGTTTGTTCTCCAGCCCCTGTCCAATGGGACTATCCATCCTCCGACATCTCAACCCTCTTGGAGCCCGATGGGCAGGAGGCAGGAAGCAGCTTACCATGTGGCAGACATGGCCAGTGTCAGCCTTCAGTAGTTTTTCCTGTCATCAGCCACTAGGCCAAGGGAACCAGAAGAAGATGAGCAGCCTGCCCTCTGACCCAAGCCAGCATAGCCCTGTGACTCCTCGGGATGAGGAGGAGGATGAGGAGGAGGAAGAAAGCTTTGGAACCCTCTCCAACAAATATTCCTCCCGGCGATTCTTCCACAAATCAACAGCCCGATTGTATAACCTTCAGCTCAGGGAACAGAGTGCCGAGGAAAATGAGGAAGAGGAACTGGAGCCAAAATCCTGGCGAGGCCGAAAGAACACCCCGTACTGGTATTTCTTTCAGTGTAAACGCCTGATCAAGGAAGGAAAGGTGAGGAACCCTGGTATTCTTCTTTCTGCTGGAGCAGTTACTTTGTGTATTTGGAAAGCAACCCAACCTTCCCAGGTGCTAAATATTGGTATGCTCATAAGTACTCAGCCCATGAGCCTCAACCCTGGTGAGTCGTCTGTCTCATGGCTCTGAGGATTCCCTGGCTGCTGCAGTTATGTTCGTATCTCTCACCCTGGCCTTTCTGTGGACCCCGATCTGTGTATTCCCTATACTCAGCCACATAGCTACCTGTGCAAATCTAAGCCTGAAATTTTTGTTCCAACCTTGTTTACCCAACACTTTGTTTTTTTCCAGTACTAGAGTTGGAATTTAAGGACTTTACACTGAGTGGTCCTTCCAGCCCCTTTTTATATATTTTATAAAGCTTTTAATTTTTTGAAGTTTTGTGAGACAGGGTCTCACTAGATAGTCCAGGCTGGCCTCATTTTCATAGTAATCCTCCTTCCTCAGTCTCCCAAATGCTGTGATTACATCCATGTGCCACCATGCTCAGCCTTATATTTTTAGAGAGCATCTCACTGAGTTGCCCAGGATGGCCTCCAATTTGTAATCTTTCTGTCTCACCCATACTGAGTTTCAGGATCACAGGTATGTGCCCGCCTGTCTACCTTTCCATGCTTTCCATATGTCACTAAATGGCAGAACCATTACTTCACTTAACCAAGACCATGTTTCCTTTGGTCATACTGCTTTCCTCCCCTCATTCCTCACAACATACTCTTGAATGCCGAGGAATAGCCTCCTCAACCTCCTCAATTATTAAGACCCTTGTCCCTGGGCTACTAGCTGCTTGTATCATCTTTCATCTTGCTGACCACTCACAACACAGCTGTCCTATTGGAAAGAAAGCAAATCATGTTTATCCTCTTCTCAGAACTCCCAGTGTATGCAGTAGTGTTCATGTTCATTTTCTGGCTGGGATGTAACCTAATGGTAGAGCAATTACACAGCATGCTTATGGCCTTAAGTTCAATCCTCTTTTTTTTTTGTCTTTTGGGATAGGATCTCACTATGCAGTTCAGGCTGACCTTGAGCTCACTTTGCAGCCCAGGCTGGTCTTGAACTTGCAAGATCCTCCTACCTCAGCCTCCTGCTGAGTGCTGGGATTACAGGCATGTGCAACCATGCCTGGCTTAGGTTCAGTCCTTTTCTGTGGGGTGTGTAGCTTAATGATACAGTGTGTCCTACTTTACTTGAAAGCCTAGGTTTGATTTCCTATGGTTTGAGAAAACCTAGGAAACCCTACGTGAGAAGCTGAGGCAGACTGAAAGTTCAAGCCCAGCCGGAGCACTTTAATGACTTAGTAAGACCTGTTTCAAGATAAAAATTAAAATTGAAGTGGGGATATAGCTCAGTGCAAAGACCCAAGGTTTAATTCCCAGTATAGCAAATAAATAAATAAATAAATAAATAAATGTTCATTTTTTGGTGAATTGATAGTGGTCTTACTATACATTTCTATTTGAAAATCTCTTAGTGTTATGTACTTCCTTCATATGGATGAAACGATAGGGTGTCTGGGATTTGCTTTTAAAATGCTGTTTGGAGCCAGATGTGGTGGCATATACCTGCAGTCCTAGCACTTGGGAGGCTGAGGCAGGAGGATTGCGGAGGTTGAAGCCATCCTAAACTACATGGTAAGTTCGGGGCCAGCCTGAACTACACAGCAAGGCACAGTTTCAAAAAGAGAGGGAAGGGGACAGAGGAGAGAGACAGACAGAATGTAATCCAATAGTTCAGCTAAAGGCCTGAGCTCGATCCCCAGTACTACAGTAAATAATAACTACATAAGCAATCATGCTATTTGGAAGAGGTGTGCAGCCTATAGATGAATCAGGGTTGACCTCACATTTGTAATCATTGTAGTTACATTATCCTCCAATTTTGTTTACATTTTGAATTTTCTATAATGACCAGTTAAGAACTAAAAGCCAAAGTCCTCATAATGGCTTTGAAGCCTATAAGATCTACCGTTCTGTCCTCTCCCCCTCCATTGCCTCTCCACTGTCCTTCCCTCTAGCACCCTACTGCAGTCACCCCAGTGCTTCAGCTCCCACACATACTCCTGCCTCAGGGGCCTTTGCACTGGCTGCTCCCTCAGAGCTACGGGCCTCCTTCCTCACCTTAAGTCTGTGCACGTGTCATCTTCTGGGTGAGGACTCATTTGCCTGATTCTAAAAGCGATTCCCCAACACCCTTCTTTAGCACTTCTTGAATTTTTTTTTTTTTTGTAATGCTTACCATTATTCGACAGATTATATATTTTTCTTTTCTTTTTTCCTTCCCAGCTGGCCGGAGCTCTGGACCTGTTTGAGAGGCAGATGCTGAAAGAGGAGCGGCTGCAGCCGCTTGAGTGCAACTACACGGTGCTGATCGGGGGCTGTGGGCGAGTGGGCTACCTGAAGAAGGCCTTCCGGCTCTACAATGACGTGAGTGTGGGGCAGGGCGCCAGGGTCAAGGGTCAGCACAGGATTTGGGCACAGAAAGAACTGGGAGCAGATTCTGAGCAGGCCACTTGCTAATATGCTACCTTGGGTGGGTGACTTAAGCTTCCTGGCATCAGATTGATCTTCAACTGGAGGTGATCTTGGGCCATTAAATGAGATGATTTGCAAGTCCTCTGCACCTGCCTGGGCCCTCGTGGGCCCATGAGGCCCCTTCTCTGCTGCCGTGCCCATTTGGCTCATGTTGCTTTTTACCCCTACCCATGCATATGCACGCACCATGCTTCCAAGGCTACTATTCCCTTGGAAAGGGTTTATTTCTTCTGGAAGGTAACTTTCCTTTCCACTCATGTGCCTCTTGGGTATATCATCTTTGTCACTCTTAGCGCCAAGAGGCTGTTACCTGTGGGAGTCCAAAAAGAGCTCCCCTGAGGACTGTTGACTCTTCCTCAAGACAACCTGTTTCCTGCAGCCGGAAGCTAGAGCTAGAGGGTGCGCGCTCGCTCGCTCTCTCTCTCTCTCGCTCTCTCTCTCTCTCTCGCTCTCTCTCTCTCTCTCTCTCGCTCTCTCTCTCTCTCTCTCTAATTTAATAATACCCTATTAACACCATTGTGCAGATGCCCAGTATTGATAGCATACTAAATAATAGTAGAATTCACTTGTAAAATATTTTCAACCATAAGCACTGGTGGAACCAGAGCTAATATTATGTCTACTATATCTTTTTTTTTCATTTCTAAGAGAAATTAAAATTCCAGGTAGCATTAGAAAAAAACATACTTATTCTTCTTCATCTTTTTTTTTTATTTGGCAGAACCGGGGATTGAACTCAGGCCTTTGGGCTTGCCAGGCAAGCACTTATTCTACTGAGCTATCTCCCTGGCCTCAGAAAAGAACATACTTATTAAGATTTTATGCAGATATCCAAAAATCTCACAACTTCTATTGAAAACCTTGCAATTCTACTGTACAAATGAAAACAACTTTTCCAAACCTGCACTTACATTAAGCTCATAAAGGTTATAAAAATATTGTAAACCTAATAAAAACACAATGATATAGTACAAAGTCTTTTATTTTTTAGAAGTCAAATTTTAAAAGGTCTGTATCTTTATGAACGTAAAATGCATTTTACTGCCCCTGACTAATATTAGTGTTTAGGCAACTAGAGAGTTCTTACTCCAGTGGGAGCTCCTGAGAATCCTGTCGTCTTGTTGTTAAGGACACCTTGTTCTTCGTCTGATGATCTGTAGCTGCAATCCAGGAGGAAAACTGCATTTACAAATGGAGGGTCAGGGCTGGGGAGATGGCTCAGTAGAATAAGTGCTTCCCTGGCAAGTGCAAGGGCCTGAGTTCAATCCCCGGTTCCCCCCCAAAAAAAACAACAAAACACAAAAACAAATGGAGGGTCAGCCAGATAGCTCAGCTTAGGCAGATGCAGGGACCAGGGTTCAATCCCTGGTGGTTCAGTCCCTGGCGTGCTGTGCCAGCCCTGTCCAGGGTGCACTGAGACTGGTGATTGAGACTGGGCATGCTGGCGCACCCCTGTAATCCCAACACTTGGGAAGCTGAAAACAGGAAGATCACTACAAGTCTGATCTGTGTAGTGAGACCCTGTGGACCCTATACTATATATATATATATATATATATATACACTCACACATACACACACGCACACATATACAATACAAATGGAAAAGAAACATCATAGCTTTTAAAAGACCTAATATGCTGTCTAGTACAGAAAGGCAGAAGGCCACCCTGACTGGTTGGCTGAAAGGCATACAGGTGCCAGGCCAGGGACAGGCAGAGAGGGAACAGTTGTTGGTGTTTGTGGTCACCAGTCTGGTGGCAGCCCTGAGGATCTTTAAGCAACTTTCCTGCATGTAACCTCACAGAAGCCTGTGCCATTCTTTATCACTGTTGCCTTTTTTCTATTGATATACTTTGTCTAATAAACATTTCACTTTGGAATATTTGTAGATTTATTAAAAAGTTAGAAAGACAGTATAGAAAGTTCCAAACATCTGGGTGTGGTGGTACATACCTGTAATCTCAGACTCTGGGATGATGAGGCAGGAGAATGACAACTTTGAGCCCAGCCTGGGCATCCCTAACAACTTAGTGAGACTCTATCTCCAAATAAAAAAAAGGGCTGGAGTTGTAGTCAGTGCAGAGGCCCTGGTTCAACCTCTGGTACCAAAAAAAGAAAGAAGAAAGTTTCCAAGTATCCCTTACCTAGTTTCTACCTTGTTAATATCTTACTTTGTGTGAGTGCATTTGTCAAGAGAAGGCAGCCAATGTTGGTAGGTGGCTGTTAACTAAATGCCAGGCCTTATTGGATTTCACCAGTGTTAGCACTGACAGCCTTTATTTCTGTGTCCAGTTTGGGTGCCCATACTGTCTTTAGATCCTGCAATCTGTGGCATTTTCCCGGACTTTCCTTTTCTTTGTGATCTTGATAGCTTTGGGAGCACTGGTCAGGCATGGTATAAATTCCTATCCATGTTTGTTAAGATGCGGCTGCTTCATGATGAGGGAGAGTTGTGGCTTTGGGAAAGGGACATCAGAGAGGTGAAATGCCCTTCTTGTGTCAGAATGTGTATGCTGTCAACATTGCATCTCTGATGACATTCACCTTGGTCACTTGGTGAAAGTTGCCAGGTCTGTCTACTTTCTCTTTCTCCCTCTTGTTTTTCCTGTGTCCTTTGCAATACTCATGACTCCTTGTGCGTACTGCCTTGGCTGCAGCATGACTCTCTCCTGCTCACTGAAGATACTGTCTGCCTTGCTCACCACTAGGGCCGCTGATTGCTTGCCAACATGTGCAAGTCCTTCGTCCACATCTATTGAATACAAGCTATGTGCAGAGTGTACATCTGCCTACAATGGGCACTAAGCCTCTCCACTTTTCAGATAAACTTGAGGCCCAGAGAGATGAAGGGATTTGACCAACATGTTCTCTGTTGGAACTGGAGCTGGAATTTGAGCCCTGAGCAGCCTGGTTCTAAAAAGCTCTTTGAAGTCCCTTAATGTCTTGTCACCTGCCCTCAGTGATCAGCGTCCTTTCTCTGGTTTGTCTTTACTAGGACATTTCCAGACTCAAGTGCCAACCTCAGCCACTTGGAGGCTTGATAAGCTGAGTGTGTGTCTCAGAGGTTAGGGGCTGCCAGAGAAAATCAGCCTCAACTCCTGCTGACCCCTTTTCCTACATCTCAGGGTGATGAGCTCATTTGCAGGGTTTTTGTTTGTTTGTTTGTTTGTTTTTTATGTATTTAGTATAGGGTCTATAGGGTCTCACTACAGAGATCAGACTTGTAGAGCTCCTTCTGTTTTCAGCCTCCCAAGTGCTGGGATTACAAGCATGTGCCACCACACCAAGTCTCAGTTGCTGTCTCAGCGCGCCCAGGGGCTGGGCTGGCACAGCACACCAAGGATCAAATCCAGGTCCCTGCATCTCCTAAGCAGTCATTTTAATCCGTTGAGCTATCTGGTCGACCCCCCAGTTCCTTAAGAGCTCCATTGTCCACAGCCCCTCAGCAAATGAGTACTGTACTCCTTTTGTCAGCCACATCTACTCTCTGGCTCCTTGCCAGTCAGTGTGACCAGGTCTGGCCTGAGGTTGGGGGCTCTGGATCTATAGCCTGAGGGTGGGGACTCCAGATCTAGAGCAGGCTGAGCTCAAGCAGGTCTCTAGAGAATGGTTTCTTGACAGTACTGAGGGTAGAGGCACAGTTTTTAAGGTCTCTCTGGTGAAGTCAAGGGCTTAGATGCTAGACTTTGATCTGTCCCTTAGCATGGTCTGAGACTGCTTGAATGTGGTCATGGAGATCTCTCTAGGGTCCTCTGGGGTTGCTGTTCATTTCTGTCTCTACCTGATCCTGGAGCCACCTCTAAGTTTTTCCCATCTTGACAGATGAAGAAGCGAGACCTAGAGCCCTCCGATGCCACATACACAGCACTGTTCAATGTGTGTGCTGAGTCCCCCTGGAAGGACTCAGCTCTGCAGAGTGCCTTAAAGCTCCAACAGCAGCTCCGGGCCAAGAACTTCCAGTTCAATCTGAAAACATACCATGCCCTGCTGAAGGTGGCTGCCAAGTGTGGGGACCTGAGGATGTGCCTCGATGTATTCAAGGTGGGGACACTTCTGGCTGCTCCCAAGGGGGGGGGCAGCCCCCCATGACTAGGTAATCAGAGGTTGGTTTCTGCGCCCTGTAGAAGGTTTAGGAAAGATAAGACAGCCACCTGTGCTGGATCGAAGATTAAGCATCAAGCCCCTGCTGTGGAAAGCCTGGGTCTGACACCCAGTATGCTGTGGGACAAAGGATCATGAGAGTGGCAAGGGAGGGGTGGTGTCCTGTCCACCAGATGTGCTGGAATAGCCAAAGTAGGTTTTGAGGACTAAATAAAAACATCCAAGATGACTTGTGAGAAAGAAGTTTCATGAAGGCATTAACAGCTGCTGGGTGTGGTGGTGCACACCTATAATTGCAGCATTCTGGAGGCTGAGGCAGGGAGATTGCTGAAAGTTTAAGGCCAGGCTGGGCTACACAGTTTGAACAGTTGAGACCCTGCTTCAAAAACAAAAAGAAAACAAAGCAAAACAAAACAGCAAAGGATGGAGTGAACTGACACATAGTGGCCAGAAAGCATAAGGTCCAGTGGTTGTGGGCTGGATAGGAAAGCTGTCAGAAGGTATTCAGAATGGCCATTGGTAGCAGGCTGGATTAGTTAATCACCAGAAGGCCCAGGGGTCCAGGTTCTGGTAAGTGGCCATAGGCAGACAGGAAATGGTCAGAAGATCCAGAGGTGGTAGGTTGGACAGGAAATTTCCAGAGAGCTCAAAGTATCCAGTGGTGGCCAGGTAAATATAGTACCCCACGGAGCTCTGCTCTGCAGCCAGTTACTGCAGAAAGGGGGTTTTCTAGAGGAAACTACACAGCAGTGACATCCAAAGCTTGCTTTGTTCTCTCATATGACCAGCATTCCAAGGGATGGCTGACCTAGTGCACAGCAGTCAAAACAGATAACACTAGTTTTCCCCGTTCCTAGTGTCATTCAGATGCTGTTTATCCAGACAGTGCAGAACCTGTGGGCTTACAATGGCCCCTTGACTTGCTAAGAGCCTTCGGAACACAAAATTTCAAGAACATAGTGTTAAATGCCTCATTTCTTTTCAGGAATGATACAGGCAGGGAGCCCCTGTGCTGAGCAAAGGGTCAGAGGAGGGACTGGAGGTGGAAGGAGGGTGTAGAGTCAGCTGTAGCCAACCCTGATACCTCAGAGGCCTGTGGGAACTGAACTCACCACAGCAGCACCACACAATTGGGCCAGTCTCAGGATCCCAGAAAGCACATCTTTTCACAGATGAGGAAACTAAGGCCTGGGAGCTGATGCCCACAGCGGGCCAGTGGTGGAGCTGGGATGAGAAGCCCCGACTGTAGTTCCAGACCCTTGAGTTCAAAGACTAAGCAGACTGCTGGTCTGAGAGTGGAGCTAGGCAGAGAGGCCTAGAGGCTGCAGGGCAGTGGGTGAGTGCATTGTTTAGGAGCTGGTTCTGAGCAGGCACCAGATGGACAGAGCCAGTGCTGGCCCATGTGAGTTAGATGCCCTGCCTCAGTTCCCAGTGAGACTGCCTTGTTCTCTCCCCAGGAAATTGTCCACAAGGGCCACATGGTCACAGAGGAGACCTTCAATTTCCTGCTCATGGGCTGCATCCAGGACAAGAAGACTGGCTTTCGACACGCTCTGCAGGTCTGTGCCTCCTACCTTGACTTCCTCCCTTGCCTTCAGCATGAGGCCATACAAAGTGGTGGGTGATGATTCTAGTCATGTTTCCTGAGCACCTACTACTGCCCCATGGGGAGTTTGTTTTATTTTGCATTTTGGTATCTGAATTGAACTCAGGGCCTTGTGCTTGCCAGGTAGGCTGTTTGTTTTGTTTTTTGAGATAGGGTTTCCCTATGCAGTTCAAGGTGGCCTTGAACCCATTATGTAGCCCATCCTGGCCTCAAACTCTTTGCAGTCCTGCCTCAGTTTTCCAAGTTCTGGGATTGCAGGCATGCACCTCTGTACCCTGTCTTCTTTGTTTTGAGACAGGCTCTTAGTGTTTAGTTTAGACTGGCCTTGAATTTACAATGTAGCCCACTCTGGCTTTGAACTCACAGCTATCCTCCTGCCTCAGCCTCCCAAGTGCTGGGATATTAGGTATGTGTGACTCCTGGCACAGTAGATCTATATTTGCCATCTTTTGGTCTTCTCAGCAGCTGTTGCAGGGCACACTGCTGCCCCTTGCTATGGATGGTAGGGAGAGCAGTTTCTTGAGTGAGGACACATCCAGCTCAGATCTCCTGCTTTGCTGGGTGGGCAGCCCAGACCCTCGAAACTCATGGTCCCTGAATAAAACCTGCAGGGCACTTGTTAGGGCCCAAATTCAGTCTGCCTCACAGCCCTCCTCTCCCCTTGGCATCTCTGCAGGTGTCGCCCAGGGTTGTGGAATGTGCTCATCGTTGCAGAGTCAGACACACAGCTCTAGTCTCAACTCAGTGCCCCCCAAGCTCCATGAGTTGATGTTGGCATTGCTGTGTGGCTTGCTTCCCAGTCTCCTCTGTTTCTCTGTCCTCAGAAGTGCTCCACAGACCAGCAGCACTGGCCCTGTCCTGCCGATGGCAGCAGTGAGCAGCCATCCTCTGATCCTCAGGAGCTTCCTTAAAAAAATAGCTAAGATGTAGTTCTTAGCTCTGTCCTAGTTAGAAATAATTTGTTATCCTAATGTTCGTGTTGTGTACTTACTGCCCTGCTGTTGTTATGGTATCAGTAGTCTCGCCCACTTATTTTTTATTTTTTATTTTTTTAAGATTGAGGTTTGAATCTAGGGCTTTCACATTGAGCTACATCCCCAGGTCTTTTTTTTTTTTTTTTTTTGAGACAAGGTTTCCTAAGTTGCCAAGGCTTGGCTTAAATTTGTGATTCTCCTGCCTCAGCCTCCCAGAGTGCAGGGATTACAGGCATGAGCCACCATATCTTGCTTGTTAGCCCCATATTGTAGCTGAGGGAACAGGCTCACAGCAATCAGTAGCTTGTCTGAGGTCACATAGCCACTGAGGGGTTAAACTTACATTGCTTTGATCCCCAATCCTGGATCCCTGCCACCACACTCTGCTGCTGTGGGAGAGTGGGTATCCCTTATACCTCCCTTCGGGCAACCATTCCTTGAGGGATGTGACTGCCAAGACCCTGCCCTGTTGGGCAGGGTCCCCTTGCCAGATTTGCCGGCCTGTTTTCTTGCTCTTGCCCATCCATATACTCCTCCGATGAAGGCAGAGTGTCAGAAGTGTTCCCAGCCCTAGAGTGAGTGCAGACTTCTCGAGCCCACTGGTAAATGTGGTATTTTAAAGATGTTGTGCGCCTGTGATCCCAGCCCTCAGGACGATGAGGCAGGAGAATTTCCTCATCTGAAAAGCAAACAAAATCCAGAAACAGCATTATCTTCAGCCAGGCATAATAGCACTTACTTGAAACCTTAACACTCTGGGAACCTGAGGCTGGAAGATTGAAAGTTTATGCCCAGGCTGGGCAATTTAGTGACTTAGCAAGACTCTACCTCAAAATAAAAAAGGGTTGGAGATGTACCTCAGTGTGAAGGCCATGGATTCCATCCCTTGTACCACAAAAATAGAAGAAAATGGCATAGTCTGGGTTAGTATCAGAACTATGTTTGTTGATCCATGTGGAAGGTACTAGGTATGATGCTGTGGAAGTTAGAATAATCTTGTCCCACGGGGAAGCAGGGTCCTGGGGTCCACAGTAGGAGGGGTGAGGGCTTCTGCTGCAGCTTGCCTAACGCTGGTGCTATACTCTGCTGGCTGTGTGTTGGCTCTGTCCTGCCCTCTGCCTGGTCTCAAGGAAATCACAACATCTTTAATGTTGCCCAGAATGGGGAGTGGGCTTTTGGAGGTACTCCAGAATCCTGGTCTCAAATGTTAGCTGGACCCTTGCAGAACTAAGGCTCTCCAGCCATCCATCCATTAGTGGAGAGCTGCAGAAGATGGGCAGGGACCCCAGGTAAAGGAGCTCTGGGAGAGAACGGTGAGATGTGAGAACAATTTTGAGGTGAATTTGAGGAGGGAGAAAAAAGTTTCTGGCTCTATTAGGCCTCGTAGGAAGTTTTAGAATTCACATAGTTCTTAGTTTCCAGATATGGTTAGTGAGTTAGAAGCATTTGTTTTGCTTAGTTGATTTTTTTTTTTTTTTTTTTTTTTTAAGATGAGGTCTCACTATGTTACCCAGGCTAATCTTGAACTCTGGGTCTTCAGGAGTCCTCCTACCTCAGCCTCCTGAGAGCTGGGACGACAAGGCGTGCACCACCATATCACACTATCTTTTTTATTTTTTTTGCTACAGCTGGAGATTGCACCCAAGACCTTATGTCTAATAGGCAAGTGGTGTACCATTGGCATACCTCCAGCAATAATTTAAGATGTTGAGGGGAGCAGTCCTAGGGATGCACGAAGGGCCCTGCCACTGAGCCACACCCCCAGCCTTCTTGTTCTACCACTGCTTCACGGTGCATACTTCTGCTGAAGGTTCTTCATGGCAGGAGCCCTGAGCTGGTGTCTGTCTCTCCCAAGCAGGTGTGGAGGCAGATGCTGAATCTGGGACTCAAGCCAAACCGGCATGGCTACAACCTGCTCTTGGGGGCAGCTCGAGACTGTGGCTTGGGGGACCCAGATGTAGCCTCCAGGTTGCTCTTGAGATCCAGCGAGGAGATGGTCCTGATCCAGCCCCCGGAAGTCAAGCAGCAGGCAGGGAGGAGAGTCCCACGCAGAGCAGGTGGTGGCATGTCAGCTCAACTGCATGTGGAGGTGCTGGAGAGGCAGCTCTTCATGGAACTTTCTCCAACATGTGAGGCTCCTCCAGAGCCTTTGAAGGCTGGAGTACCTGGCAAGGTCCAGCCTGAGGTAGAAACCAAGGCAGAGCCCAGCCACACTACAGCCCTTACCCTTGGATCTCTAAAGCCACCTCCCTTGGAGTTGGAGGTCAACCTCCTCGCCCTTGGGGCCCTCCCCCCAACTGTGGTCTCACTTGGGACAGTGGCCACCCCTGCTGACAGGCTGGTCTTGATGGGGGGCCTGGAAGGCTTTTTAGGCAAGATGACAGAGCATGGGCTGCAGCCTGACATCAAGACCCTCACGCTGCTGGCTGAGGTGGTGGAGCCTGGGAGCCCTGCAGAGTCTTCGCTGCTGACTGTCCTGGATAGGTATCAGGTGGAGGCTGATGTGACATTCTTCAACACATTGATGAGGAAGAAGAGCAAGCTGGGGGACCTGGAGGGGGCAAAGGTGAGAGGTGTGGGATGGGACCTCCTCCACTTCCTTCTCTGACCTTGCTTCTAGCACATGACTCACTCACCTATTGACAGACACCTGTGGAGCCCTGCTCAGGCCTGGCCCTGGGAGAAGCTGGGCTGGCGCCATGAACCAGCCAGATGTAGCCCTGCCAGCCTGGTGGAGCTCAAGATTGGTGGGGAAGGACGTGCCAAACATTGTCATTACATAGGCAAGGGGGTACAAAATGGGCAGGTTCTGTGGAAGTGGCTATGGCCTTACTGAGCCAGGTGTGAGAATTTACCTGGGAGGTAGCCTCTGATGACTCCAGGGACACCAACGAATGTCCCGGTCTTCATGCCCCAGGTCCTGACACTGTGCTTATTGTGTGCTAGATGCTGTTCTCAGAGCAGAGCCTCATGTCCATTGCTGCTTTACTGATCACACCTTCCAGAAAGCAATGGTGGGAATGTGAAGCTCTTCACAGGGTTTTTTGGGGGGGGTGTGTGTTGCTTTTTTGAATTACAGGCTTTGAATACAAGGCCACCTTACTGAGCTACATCCCTGATCCTTTTGTGGTATTTTAATTTTGAGAGACAAGGGTCTCACTGAGTTGCCTGTGCTAGGCTTGAGTTGAGGATCCTTCGGCCTCAGTTTCCCAGAGTGCCAAGATTAGGGAAATGTACTGTAACTCCCAGTATAATAGGGTTTTGGAGATTTTTTTTTTTTTTAAGACAGGGTTTCACTATACAGTTCAGGCTGGCCTTGAACTCACAGTGATCCTCTTCCCTCAGTCTCCTCAGTGCTTGGACTACAAGTGTGCACTACCACGTCTGGCTCATAGAGGGTTTTGTCTGTTTTTTTTTTTTTAAAGCTAAAAACCAAAAGTTTATTTTTTATTAAATTTTATTGAGAAATAGGAATGAGACAGTTTCAAAACTGATTAATAGGACAGTTTCGATAATCAATACATTGTACATTGTTATCTTCTTAGTGGTTATCCATAGTACAAGAAGCAGACAGGATAATCCTGTCCAAACACTTTTAGTACACCTCTTTTTTCTCATTGAATTAAGCAAAAGTAGCTGTATATCTATCCTATTTTGTATATATAAATACAAAATGATCCTTCCTTTGTATCCCCTTTTTTTGTTTAGTCCTGTCAGAGGTGGGTATTCTGTTGGCATCTAAATACTATAGGTGTTTGAATCCAGCAAAACAATCCAACACTGTCTAGCAGTCTATAATAGTAGTGGGTTATCCTCAGAAGTTATTGACTTGAGCCTTTTACAGCTCATCGTATTAATATGGCTTTACATTATATACCTCGTATTCATACTTTTCTGCTGGATGGTTAAGACCAAGATAAAGCAAGACCTATATGACGAGAAATGTAACTTTTGTATCTGATAAGGTCAGTCAAGTACCCTCAGGATTTATCCTACAACCCTGTACCACACTTTGTAGATCCTTTGTCAGTGTCAGCTATGAGGATGGAGTCACGGCCATTGCTTGACCAATTTGTTCTCTGTGAAAGCCCGAGAGAATGTTTTCTCTCCATGTGACTCTCCCCAGGCATACTACACATCATCAATTACATTCTTCTGTGGCTCCATAATCTCCTTGATCAGAAAATTTGGAGCACAACTGAGTTACATGTTGTTACAGTACAGGTTCTCCTATGTCCTGGGTGCTCCCTGACCTTGAAAGGCTAGGGCCAAAATGTTGGCTGACCTTGAAGCCCTTCCTTTTCTCCAGTTTTGATCTGCTAACTTAGGTTGTTAACCCTCCAGAAGAGAAACTTATTAACCTGCAACATATGCAGTTTGGTTTACCCTATTTGTCTAAATATCAAACATCTTTGGCATATCATGGGGTTTTATCTATTTGTAGGATAAATTTTTGTGTGATAAGTTTTGTTTCATTTGAGACAGGGTGTCCCTATGTAGTTCAGACTGGCCTTGAGTCCCAGCTGGCCTTGAATTAGTGATGTTCCTGCCTCAGCCTCCCAAGTCCTGGGATTATAGGCATGTGCCACCATACCTGGCTTACGTACACCTTTTTTTTTTTTTAGCTAGCAGCACTACCCCAAGCACTTTCAGTGTAGCTGTGGTCTGTCCCTTCAGGCCTGCAGTGGGAACACACCTTCCTCTGAGCAGGCTAAGTATAATAGAACCTTCCCATTAGCCCTCTCCAGCTCAGCTAGTCTGGGGCGACCCTATTCCTCACACCTGTCCAGGTGCTGCTTATGCCAGCACTTCCCACATTGTCCAGTGTCAACTCCTGCTCTGGACACTGCTCTCAAGGAAGGAACCCTGATGCTAGGACTGAGGGCAGGCATGGCCAGCTAAGGAGCATGTGGTGGCAGGTGGGGGCAGGAGTGAAGAGACAGGCAGGGTCACAGCACATGTGCTGAAGAGCTGTGTCCTGAGCAGAGCTGTGCCCCTGGGGTCTCCACTGTCCAGCCAAGGGCTTTGCCAAGGGCCTCACTAGCATTGGAGGGTCACAGGTTACAGTGACAGCATATCTCTCCTCAGGCGCTGTTGCCAGTCCTGGCGAAGAGGGGACTCATCCCCAATCTGCAGACCTTTTGCAACCTGGCCATTGGGTGTAATAGGCACGGGGACGGTCTGCAGCTGCTTGCAGACATGAAGGTGAGGGGACCTAGATGCAGGCAGCATGCCCCTGGCACATTGGAGCACTCTGGGAAGTTGGGAGTAGGGTGGGGTGGCTCTAATTTGGTGCAGCATGGCCATCAGCCATGTTTGGGGCAAGGAGACCCTGGTGAACTACTGTGACAATAGGTGTGGAGGGCATGCTCATCTTGAAGCTGGTAGAGGCATCTATAGCTATACCACCCCGAATGCGCCCAGTCTTGTCTGATCTTGGATGAAGGGGGTGATAGGCCTGGGTGCCCTACCCGGGAGATGTAGATGGATCAGAAGCCCTAGGGGTGTGGGGTGCGGTGGCTTATGCCTGTAATCCCAGCATTTGGGAGGCTGAGGCAGGATCGTCCAGGGTTTGAGACCAGTCTGGGCTACAAAGTGAGCTCAAGGCCAGCCTGAACTGTGTAGTGAGACATCTCAAAAAAAAAAAAAAAAAAAAAAGTCCTAGGGGCACAGGGCTGCTTTCATAGCTTCCAATGGTTCTGATACACATCCCGCCCAATCATTGAGTCTATGCTAAGTGCATTTCATCTGACCTCAGCAGAGGGCCTAGGTGGTCATTTCACCCAGCTGATGCTGTTTGTTTTGCTAGGTTGATCACCTCCTCCTGGAGGTGATGTCACCAGTAAACTCAGAAGCCATGAAGTGAGCCTCCTGCCTCACTTTGTGCCTGAGTCAGTTGGTCTCCAAGCAACAGTCTTCCTACAGAGTTCTCCCCAAGCTGGTTATGCCATAGTGAGCTGCGTGTCCCAGTCACCACCATTATCTTGCTAACTGAAATGTCGATGATGTTCCAGAAATCCCAGATGACCCCAAACACCTACATCTACAGCACGCTCATCAATGCAGCCATCAAGAAGCTGGACTACACCTATCTTATCGACATCCTGAAGGACATGAAGCGCAGCAGAGTTCCCGTGAATGAAGTGGTTATCCGCCAACTGGAGTTTGCAGCTGCATACCCACCCACCTTTGACCGGGTAAGGCCACCAAGCTCTGGGGTGCTTATTGTCTCCTTGACCATGGCCATCCTGGTTCCAGCCTTTTGGAGCTGGAATTCCCCTGTTTAAAATTGTCCAGCAGCTTCCCTTAGAAATCCTAATGTCTTCAACTGTGTGTCCTTAGGGTCTTCTCATGCTTGACTGTTGGTCCTGCTGGCTTCTTTCCTGCCTTGGAAACATGTCTCCTCTCTGCCTCAGACTTCTCAGGTTTTCTGCCGTAGGTCCCTGCTTGAAATGCCTTTCCTCAGGAATGCCCTGCTGCCTGCCTCTCCCCACAGCACAGGGGCGAGCAGCAGCACAGCCTGCAATGGAGCTGGTTTGGCAGTGCATAGCCCAGACAGGAAAGCTGACAACAAATGGCACATGGGCTAGGGGCAGGGACTCGGGAACCCTCTGGAGGGGGAGCACTTGAGTGCCACCTGGAATGCTGGGTAGGAATGAGTGGAATAGGGAAGGCTGTGCCAGGGCAGCGGGCACAGCCAGGTGTATTTGGGCTCTTTTCTTATTGAATCCTCAGTTCTACTAGATGGCTAGTCTTTGCCAGTTGCATGTTGTAAATACTTCTGGCTGACAGATTCTTTCTACTGTGGTTTAGGACCCAGGACTGGGGTCCTCTTAGATCTAGCAACAGTCAAAAGACTACCTAAGGCCTGAAAGTTCATTTACCACATGAACCATATACCAAGACTCCTTGTAATTGTGGAGTTTAGGCTAGCGTTAAACTCTCAGCAACTCAGCAATCCTATCTTAGCCTCCTCAGTGCTGGGATTTTAGTTGTGAGCTACCATGCCCAGCAAGTTTTACTTTTTGTGTACTTTCAAGCTGTATTGGGTAATTTTAAGTTTGGGATTGCTAAACCTTTTTAATCAAACCTTTTATTATATGTGGATACATCCATCTCTGATCATACTTTTTTTTGCGCAGCCCCCTTCCAGTTTCCTTCAGGACCTACTAGCCTTGGTGTCTTTTGGTTTTCCTTTTACTGCTTCTGTAGGGAGGCAGTGGCTGTGCTGAGAGGGAAGTACTTAGCAAACCAGAGGTCACTGTTGGTGGGACCCAGGGTTCTATTTTGTGGACTAGGGTGACACCCATGGGTCAGGGAGCACTGCAGCAGGCATCAAGGAAGACACTCCCATAATGAGTTTTCCTGTGCTGCCACCTGTGGCTCCCTGAAGGGCGAGCAGCAGCGACCAGCCTCAAGGCCTGAGCCTTGCTAGGGTTTGGGATCAGCTGTACATGTCATACAGGGATTTGGATTGCCCAACGACTCCCCTGAACACCATTTTTTTTTTTTTTTTTTTTAATTGCAGTACCAAGAGAAGAACACCTACTTGGAGAAGATTGATGGTTTCCGAGCTTATTATAAGCAGTGGCTGAAAGTGATGCCAGCAGAGGAAACCCCCCACCCCTGGCAGGTATTCCGGAGCAAACCCAGGGGAGACCAGCACATCTCCAGAGACGCTGGTGCAGACAGAGACCTTGGGGACAGGTGATAGGGCACATGGCTGCAATGAAGCATGTGGACCTTTTAGTGCCTGGCGGGAGCCACAGCATGCTGCAGGTGTTGGTTTGAAGACATATGCCAGGCCCAGGCTGCCCAAATTCACAGCAGGTCCTAGAGCAGCTCAAGCCACCTTTGCCTGCTACCTCAGGTCACCCTCACCTGAGAGGTTGTCATTCTTATAGCACTTATGATGAGGTAGGGCTGGGAATGAATCCCAGGGACATGTGGGCCCCGAGCCTGGCACTTTTCCAGATTACAGGGCTTGCTGCCCTGAAGGAACAACACAGGACCCAAGAGGCTTAATGGTTTTATTGTTACAAATCACAGCTGGTAAATACCAAGCTTTCACCTGAAGAGACTACACTCCAACTAGGGCCCAGGGCGCCACTCCAAGAGTTGCTCCCAAGAAGGGGGTGGCACAGTAAGAACCCACAAGGTCCGAAGTCCAGGATGGAGAGGGCTCAGGGCCAGGTGACCTCAGCCAGAGCAGCCCCGGCAGCCACAGTGTGTGCACTCGATGATGCGACCCTGCAACAGAGGATAGCTGACCATGAGACACCATGCCCAGCTGGTACCGCCACCTGCTGCCCCTGCACAGTGAGCCCTGAGTAGGGTGCCAATGAGACTTCCTGCAAGACACCTCCTTCCTTCAGGAACCCTTCAGGGACAGTACTAGATGGGGATTTCCATTCCCTCATGAAAAGGGAAATATAAGTCCAGCCTGCATATGTGATCCAGTACTTGGGAGGCTGAAGCAGGAAGATCACTATGAGTTTTAAACTAGTCTAAACTACAAAGTAAATTTAAGGTCAGTCTGAACTACACAGTGATACCTTGTCTCAAAAATAAAAAGGATCAGTGACTGTCAACACTGATGTTACATTTGTATAGTTAATTCATGCTAATTCAATGTACATCTTTGCTCAGAGGAAAAAAAAAAAAGTCTGTGTGGACAAGTCCTACTCTACTGGTGAGCTGAGGTGGGTGTGCTCAGTAGCTAAGGGGCCTCAGTGCCACTTCTTGGCTGGACACTTGTTGGTAGGAACACTGGGCTGAAGGGTAAGTGCACCTGCCTTCCTGCAGGCACGACAGCCTTCCCCTTCCCTCACCAGCACACACTCGGTATGTCCGTGCTTGAGCTTTCACACATGCAAGCAGACAGACTTACCTACGAGTGAGAGGCCCTGGCACTGAGCAAAGCTCCAGGAACTAACTGGTGCAACAGTGGGAAGGGCACCCTGGATTAAAACACAGGTACGAAGTAAGGGAAAACAAGGCCAAGATGCAAGACGGACCATCTGGCCTGACCTGTGTGTGTGTGGGGGTGGGGGGCAGTGTGCCAGTTACTCTGCCTCCTTCTGCAGCTCTATTCTCAAGGGCAGGAAAGCAAAGCTTAGCTACCATACACCTGACACCATTCCCAGGGTGCCCAGACTGGCTTAAAGTACGACTGTGACATGGCAGCCACCCTTCCCTGACAGGTTCTTCCCACCACTTTGAGAGGTTCAGCTAGTTGCCCAAAGGTGGAATTCAGTTTGGCCCCAGACCAAACAGAATCACTGCCAAACCTGGCTAGCACAGAACCCTCAACAAAGGGACTCATCCCAGGGCAGCAGGACTGAGAGGAAAAAAGCCACACTCCAGCCAAACCAAATGCTACAAAACCGCTTGGCGGTGACGGCAGTGTTCTGAAAACCTGAAGAAAACAGCTAACTCGAGCCTTGGGCCTTACCACTTCCAGCTTGCTTTTGGGAACCCGGCAAATGCAGTTTGTTCCAAAATTGGTGTCTCGAGTCTGAATGCATCGCAGGCAGCACAAGTTCTCATACCCTTGCTTTTTCCACTTTGCAATCAGGTTTTTGTCTGCATAGCCTTCTTTAATACAGTATTCATAGAGTTCTATCAAAAACAAAGGAAAGAGGGCTGGTGAGATGGCTCAGTGGTCTAAAGCACCTACTTGGAACAAGTTCAGCAAAGCACAGGGACCATGGTTCGATCCCCCAGCACCACATGCCAGCCAGCCCCGCCCCCTGGTGGGCTGAGCTGGCCACACACACACAAATAAAATTAAAAAAAAAAAAGGAAAGGCCATCACACTACTGTATAACCTAATCCACCCTTGGTTAAAAAGAAAAATTTCCCCGTTTTTCACAGTAAGAAAACTCGTGATGCTTAAAAACTGCAAAGATAAGGATCATTACCTAAATAATTGTAAAGTTACTCAAGTTCAAAGGCCAAGAGCAAATTTAGCCAATTACCCCTGCTTATGGCTTTCCGCTTGTAAAAGAGGTCAAAGATATAGCGGGTTTTCTGGTGGTGGATTCTGAAGATAGGCCATAGAGATTCCACTTTCCTCTTTCCCTCATGAGGTTCTGTTTCAGCTGGAGGAAAAGAAAAAAGAAATGTGCACAGTAGGGTTAGTCAGCAACTGCACGGAATGGAGGGATTTTTGGGGTGGGGACTGTGAATAACTATGGATAATGGGCTGAGCAAGCTGTAATTCCAGCACCTGGGAAGCTGAGATAAGAGGATTATGGATTTGAGGCCAGCTTGTGTTACACAGTAAGACCCTGTCTCCCCCAAAAAAGAAAAAAGGGCCACTTTATATCCACTAGTATATAATCAAAATGAGACAACACATGATGGTGTGAATGTAGAAAAACTGAACTCTCACACTGCTGTGGTAGCAATGTGTAAGAGTACAGCTACTGCAGAAAATAGTTTGGCAGGCCTTTGAGAACTTAAATGTTACTATCTGACCCAGCAATTTCACTCCTAGGAATACACCAGAGAACTGAAAACACACAGGCATGTACACACTTGTACATGAACATTCACCATAGTGAACAAGTAGGTACGATGTAAATCTTCCAACTGATGAATGGATGAACTGTGTGGTCTACCCATAAAAGGGGTTATTTAGCTGTAAAAAGAAAAGCTAATACAGAGAATGTCCATTTTGTATCTGTGTATTCAAAGTGGTTAGGATAGCTATATAGTTACATTCTCTTAATGAATAGAGCGATTTGTTCTAATGGTGTTTGTAAATAGGATATCATGTCTGCATCTTGTACAGCAATTAACCACTAGGAAGAATGTATGCAATGTGTGAATTACTGAAACTGTCCTACCAATTTGATTTGGAAAAAAAAAAAAAAGCTAATCTTAGCACTCTGGGAGGCTGAAGCAACAGGATCCCAAATTCAAGCCCAGCCTGGGAAACCTATCAGCTTAGCAAGACCCTGATTCAAAGTCTTAACCACTTACCAGTCCAATTATTTAAATACAGAGTAACTAAAACTTGTATATTTTTTCATTTTTATATGAATATAATAGGAAATATAAAAATGTCAATTTTATCAAATCTATTCAGTACAGGAATCAACTGGGCTGGGTGTGGTGGGGCACAACTGTAATCCCAGCACCTGGGAGGCTGAGGCAGAAGGGTCGCTTTGAGTTCACCAGCCTGGGCTACATAGTGAGTTCAAAGCTAGCCCAAACTATATAGTGAGACCCTGCCTCAAAAAAGAAAAAGACTCAGGATAAATCCTGAGGGCATTTCACTGACCT